CTTGCTATGTGCTAAAAAACGAATCAATGAAAAGCTAATCAGAATCTCCAGTATGGAGGGGCTTACGTTCAAATTCACATACAAAGGCTATTAGGAAAGTTGTTAGTAATAAAAGAAGTTAAAATCACTTCCGTGCTTTGATCTAGTTTTATACTTCTCTGTGCCTCACAGTGTCAAGTACATTACTGAAACTCATGACCACTGAACAAAGTGAAACAGGAGCAACTGATTTAATCTTTTAGCCTTGACAATGGAGCAAAGCCTAGGGAAAATCTTTGGCCGGGGGCAGAATTACATTTCTAGTGTATGCAAAGTATAAACAAATAATGTGTATTTATGGACATATATATAAAATTTATATACATATACATATATTATACATCCACATATACTTAAGTGATGTAAAAGTACATTAAAGACATAAAAGGGACACATTTGTGATGTGTCCTCTAAAACAGAAACCTTGAATACTTCATGTTTTATCCAACTTGGCCCTCTATGTGACTAGTAAGTACTCAATAAATCTTCATTGAATGAATGGAGGAGAAATTGCTTTTAAAGCTTATAAGAAAATGGAATGCTCACTTCAGATAAATCTAGATAAATGGTGAATACTAATCACATTAGAGTACCAGACAGACTTTGTTTTGTGACAATACTTTGTAAGTTTGCATACAAATTTTAGATGTTAACAAAAGCAGCAGGAAATTTCTTTCATTGAGCCATACCTAGTTAACTCAAGGCCTTGTACATAATACTTGTACATTAGATTGGCTTCTATTGATTTTTATTTTTGGAAAAATAAAAGCCAATCTAAGCATGTCTTATAACAATGTAAAGTTTAAAAATAGGTTATGTTAGCTCTTTAGTAATTAAAATAAGACAACTTTGATTGGTATTGTTAGCCAGTTTTTAAATACCAACCTTCCAAGTCATAAACAGTGAAGTAGCACAGTTCTGGCACTAATTGGGACTTCCAGTGAATCTAATAAGACTGAATTGTCATTTACGCAGCAGTGAACATCTGACTTGATTATAAGTACCCCCTCCCTCCAAAAAAAAATCTGTGGGAAAATTAATAAGTGCTCAAAATCAACTGTAAATCTTGCAGTGTAAGAACTAGTATTGATAGTGAATAAGTGTCTATAGCAGAAAAAACAAACACTTTGTCATTTCTATCAATTCTATACAGCATCAATTCCCTCTTACCACTCTCTCTAAAGGGGGTAAAGCAGAATTCTCCAAGGCCAGAGGGCAGGTCACTGACCCTGGTCTCTCATGCTTCTTTGTAGCTTCTAGCAGATCAACAGACTCAATTTACCTCTGGCCTTTTGTCTCATTCTTCTCAGAGGAAGCTGGCATTATGCCTCTTGGAGAAATGCTTTTCTCTTGATTTCCATCCTACTTCACTGGCCTTTCTTTGTGTTCATTTTCCTGGCTCTTTCATATCTCTCTAGCCTCTAACTATTGTCATAACTTAGCATTTATATATTACTTTTCTACTAGTACATTACAGATAACCATAGATAATGGTTTAAAAAGCATACATTTTAAAATCTCACAGGTTCTGTGGATCAAAAGTCTGGGCATGGCTTAACTGGGTCCTGTAAGATTATACTCAGGGTATCAGCTGGGACTTCGATATTATCTGAATGCATGACTAGAGAAAGATTTATTTCCATGCTTACTCAGATTGTTGGCAAAATTTATATCCTTGGAGCTATATGAGGGACTTATTCCTCTCTCTCTCTCTCTCTCTCTCTCTCTCTCTTTTCTTTTCTTTTTTTTTTTTTTTTTGGCTAGAGGCTTTGCATACTGGATGGTAGCGACTGTTCCTTACCATGTGGTTCCTCTATATGGCTTCTGGCTTCACAAGAGTCATTCAGTAAGGGAAAAACTCCACTAAGGTGGGGGCAACAACAGTGTCATTTGTGTAATTAACATACATTTTGTCACTTAATTCCTTCACACATTCTATTGGTTAAAAACAAGTTACAGGATTTTCTCACTTTGTAGGAGATGGGAAACATACAGTGGTATTGTTAGTTTTTCATTGCTGTGACTGAAATACCTGACAAGAACAATTTAGAAGAGGAAAAGTGTATTTTGGCTTACAATTTCCGAGATTCTGTCCATGGTTGGCTGACTCTATAGCTCTGTGCCCATGGTGAAGCAGAACATCATGGCAGAAGGGTGTGATAGAGGAAAGCAGTTTAGGACTGACCACCAGGAAGCAGTGAGAAAGTTCTGCCTACTAGTGACAAAATTTAAACTGCAAAGGCATACCCACTGGGACCTACTTCCTCCAGTCATATCCTTCCTGCCTATAATTACTGCTGAGGTAATCCATATCAGTGGATTAATCCACCAATTAGGTTATACCTCTCATAATTTAATCATTTACTTCTGAAAATTCTTACATTGTCTCACACATGAGCTTTTGGGGTTATTACAGACATGAACATGTAAGGTGAAGAGGGTGGTGTAACCAAGAGTCTATAAACTCCAGTGTTAATTCTCTGTCCTGATCATCTCTCTTCTTTTAAACTTTTAGTTTTTAAAAAATTTGTTCTAATTAGTTATACATGACAGTAGAATGCATTTTAACACATTGTACACAAATGGAGCATAACTTTTCATTCCTCTAGCTATAGGGTAATAACGACCATCACATTCCACCATCCTTCCCATCCCCACACCCTGTCCTCTCCCTTCACTCCCCTCTGCTCAATTCTAAATTCCTTTATTCTTTCCTACTATCCCTCCTTATCTATCAGCATCCACTTATCAGAGAAAGCATTCAGCCTTTGGTTTTTTGGGTTTGGCTTATTTTGCTTAGCATGGTATTCTTCAGCTCTGTTCATTTACCTGCAAATGCCATAATTTCATTCTTCTTTAAGGCTGAGTAATATTCCATTGTGCATATACACCACATTTTCTTTATGCATTCATCTGTTGAAGGGCATGTAGGTTGGTTCCATAGTTTAGCCAGTGTGAAATGAGCTTCTATAAACATTGATGTGGCTGTGTCACTATAGTATGCAGATTTTAAGTCCTTTGGGTATAAACCAAGGAGTGAGATAGCTGGGTCAAATGTTGATTCCATTCCAAGTTTTATGAGGAATCTCCATACTGCTTTTTATAGTGGTTACACCAATTTGCAGTCCCACAAGCAATATATTAGTGTACCTTTCCTCCCCACATCCTTGTCAACGTACATTATTATTGCTTGTATTCTTGATAATTGCTGTTCTGACTGGAGTGAGATAAAATATTAGAGTGGTTTTGTTTGTGTTTCTCTAATTGCTAGAACTGTTGAACATTTTTTATTTGTTTGTTGATTGATTGTGTTTCTTCTGTGAAGGCTCTCTCTGCACTTATTTCCTCTTGTCTTATGTCTTTTAAGTTCTGTAAGTAAAGGATAATCTTTACTTTTATGTCTACAAGTTGAATCTTCTCTTATCTCCATATTTAATATTGTTCTGGCTGTGTCTTCTGAGCATGTCAAATTTCACACATCCACAGCCTAAATAATTATTTTTCTCCATTTATCTGACTTTCTCCCCATGTTTTTCTAGTCTCACTGAAGTTATGTTTTGTCCTTTTAGTTGATAAAATCCAAAATAACATCATCCTTCATTCTATTCTCTTACAGCCTACATCTAGTTTATCAGAAAATTCTGTCACCCTTCCACTTTGTTTAAAACTCTTTGCGTTTTATTTTCGGGAAACCTATTATTGTTTTTCCTCAAATCTTTTAAAGTTTTTCATATCTCTGTTAGTATTTCTATCTTCCGCTGGCACTAGAATCTTATCTCAAGTACAAGATATTTGGTTGCCGTTTATGATGATTTCAATCCTGTGTTAACTTTTCAGTTTCCCTGTAACTGGCTCAGGATCTGCTTCTAAAAAGACAGACCTCATGGGATGGGGATGTGGCTCATGCGGTAACACGCCCACCTGGGTTCGATCCTCAGCACCACATAAAAATAAAATAAAGATGTTGTGTCCACGAGAACTGAAAAGTAAATATTAAAAAATTCTCTCTTTCTCTTCTCTCTCTTTCTCTCTCTTTTAAAAAAGAAAGACAGCCCCCATAGGACCTCAGTGCTACTGCTCTGATTTTGCTATTGATGGAAGCTCATGCAGCTTTACCATATGCCAGATTTGTTTCATATCAGTTGTTGCCTCTTATCAAACCAGGCTGCATGTACTCTGGTGAACCTCTCAGTTCTTATTTCATCCCAAAGACTCAGAAGGATAGAGAGCAGGCAACAACAAGTCACCTTCTTCCTCTCCCAACATATTTTTCATACAGGATTGTTTTCTTTTTGGCCTGTCCTCCTTTTATTCAGTATTCTTTTTTCTTCCTATCCCCCAGTATTCTCCAAATCCATGTTAAAATTTGCTTTCTGGAGTAGGACTTCCAATCATTCATTAGCATTTAAGTCTAATGTATTATGTCATTTTTCTCTAGGTGTATTTTTATTTCAAATTGTTATTCATTGTAAAATGAAAATATTTGTTTCATCAGCATTTGAGGCATTCATATGCTGATGAATTTGTTTCAGGGAACAAAACAGTAGAAAAGTTCATTCTGGTTTCTGTGAACTCACATCAAAGAGGTAGATGGCTGTTCTCCAAAACTAGTAGTTGAACCTTGGCTGGAATTCTCCATCTCTATACTTGGTCTCAGGTAAATGGTCACTCAGGGGATAGCTAAGGGACAAAAGGGGGATGATCTCAAATAGATGGATTGAGAGATTTTTACAAGCGTTCTTTCTCCCATGAAGATAGGTAACTATGCTCTCATCCTTTCTACATACTTTGTGATGCTTTTAACTTTGCATTGTTTCTTAAAATTTATTTTAATTAGATGTCATTTATATGAAAATAATTACTGTTGGAATAGCACATGGTGATTTTCTCTGGTAAGTGGCCTATGCTTACCTTTTCTTTTTTTCTGAAGTCTCACACTGATTTTCTAATTGTATTTTTAGGAAGCTGAATCTAGAACATTCTGAGGAAAGCATCTGGATTTCAGTTGTTCTTGTCAGGTAATGAGAAAATATGGAGAAAAATGGCTTATAATGCCTACATCGAAATTTCACCATGAGTTTCAATTTTAGATGACTTTGACATCACTCTCTCTTTTTAATGGGAAAATAATATTAAAGGTTTGGTAGAAAATTTTGTAAAAATAAATCAAAATTGACATGGAAACACTTTTTAAAATGTTGGTTGTGCTGTAGAGCACTGTATTTATTACTGGGAGTAAGTCCAATTACAGAAAGAATAAGAGACAGATGCCAGTTTAAGTAGACAAATGTTTCCAAAATAAAATATTTCCTATCAGCAGAAAATGTTTTACTTCAAAGACTAACTTGATAGTCTCTAACCACACAAACAGTTGGATGCAAGAGAAAAATGTGTGTTTTGCCAGCAAACACTTTCAAAGATAAGCACTTGTTGTAAGTACTACATACTTAGAAAATCTTTCTTTTGGCCAGCTGAGACCACCACGTGTTTTAAAATATGTCATCCATCATTTTAGTGTTAAGAGCGCCCCCTGGTGTGATTGTGTAAACATTTTTATGTGAAATTTAGGTACTTTTTAAAATCTCATTTTACTATTAGGTAGTGAGTGATTACCTTTTTATTTTAGGTTAACTTGGCCAGTATGGTATATAACTGTTTAGAAATATGGATTTAAGTTTTTTTCTTGTCCTTACTCATGATTATCTAGACATAGATGTCAGCTTTAAAATGGAATTTGGGAATATCCTAATTTCTGCACTTCTTTCTTACAAGCTAATGTCATTTAGTAAGTGTGAGATTTATACTGAGATAAAAGTTTACAGGGCAACCAAATATGTTGGTGATAATAACTTTTTTACATTGCAAATTGATGTGACAACTCTTTGGTGAATTCATCGAACATTTTAATAATTATGAAAATTCAGACACCTGCTTTTACTATATTAACTGTGAAAAAATCTTAATTTTGAGATTTTTAAAATAAATAAACAGCTATCCTGTTATCTACAGAACTTGCATATATAAATAGAATTCTATCATGAATGATAGAGTTTTTATCTATCCCCTGCCACCACATTAGAATGACATGAAATCACCTCTACTGCTATAAATTCTCAGTCAAAATTGGAAGTTGCATACTTGTTTATAATTGTTATTTTTTCTTGTATTTAATTTTTAATCCTTTAGGGATAATTAAACCATCCTTGAAAAGTTAAATTGTATATAATATTCTAAACCATATTTCTATTAATTTGATAATTGCAGTTATTTCTCCCTATTATCTCTTCTGTATACTATATTACATTGACTCTTTCAACTCTTTCCTATGGAATTTTTCTTCTAAACTTAATAATTTGCCAGACTACAGTAGTGGGCTGTTTGCAATAGAGTGCTTTGTTTTTATTTTCTTGTGTATGTTCCCCATTATTTGGTGCTGAAACCATGAATTTAATTCCTACCTTATTGAAAGAATTCAACAACAACAACAAAACAAACAAACAAACAAAACAGAGCAATTAACCAGCCACAATAGACTTGTGTTTCAATCCTGGCTTTCATACTTACTTGTGATTTTGGACATGTTGGTGACTTTCTCAGAAGCTCAGTCTCTTCTGTTTTTAAAAAAAAAAAAAAGAGGGAATAGAATTTACAGTTTCACAGGATGTTGTTAAAGCATCCTTTACATTGTTAATACATCCTTGTATTAAGTATGTATTTAAGACTTATTAAATGTCTGATTTGGGGTTCTATATATTATGAGCATTTATTTTTCACAGAAACTTGAAAAACTAGTTACCAATGTTTCTTTATTATTGATGATGCATAGTGAGAATAAGAAAACTCTTAAGTGGAAAAACCAAAGATTCTAATTAAGGTCTTTCTGACTTGAAGTGGACATATAACCCACTTATTTATTATTTAACTCGATCATATTTATTCATTTCTACTAATGTGTTGATTTAATTGTGTTTAAGGACAAAAAGAAACAATTCAATGTTCAAACATAAAGGAAACTTTTCCTATGAAAAATAGTAGGGAGATCTTTTAATATAGATGCTCTTCTTATAAGGAAATAAGAATGATTTAATTATTTTGGGGGGCTAATTCTTCTATACCATTGTTTCAAATCTGGTGGTACATTAAGAAATTCCTTATTTTTAATGTCATTGAGCTGATAGCAGCCATGACAAGGACTAGTGATATTGGGTTAGTGAGCTTAAGGATGTCTTCATAAATAATATAAAAACAGAATAATAGAACCCTAATTTTAGAGCAATTAACTGTTACCTGCTTCTAACTCAATGTTTCTTTTGGTTTTCTTTGGGTCTGGACCATAATACTTTATAAGGTGTTACTATTCTCTTTTAAGTATCTAATTACTTGCATTAGATTTGTGAACTTTCTTACATAATGTACCTTATGGGTTAAGAATTTTTATCTGATGTTATTTTTTAACTAGATTTTATTTTTTAATTGCTATAGAGGCAATTGTTTCCTTAGTGAGTAGTTTTGAAGGTTTCTTGTTTCCTTAGTGAGTAGTTTTGAAGGTTTGTTTAATAAAATATAGTGTTTCATATTATTCCTTTGGTTTTTAAGATTTTTTTTTAAGAGAGAGTGAAAGGTGGGGGGGGGAGAGAGAGAGAGAGAGAGAGAGAGAGAGAGAGAGAGAGAATTTTTAATATTTATTTTATTTTAGTTCTCGGCGGACACAACATCTTTGTTGGTATGTGGTGCTGAGGATCAAACCCAGGTCGCACGCATGCCAGGCGAGCACGCTACCACTTGAGCCACATCCCCAGCCTGGTTTTTAAGATTTGCTCTAGGAATCAAGGTATTCAGCCATGATTCAAAAGCACATAATTGTTTCTTTCCTTCACTTTTAAAAAAAATTTTGTAATTGTAGATGGACATCATGTCTTTATTTTATTTATTTTTATGTGGTGCTAGGATTGAACTCAGTGCCTTGCATATGCTAGGAAAGCCCTTTGCCACTGACCTATGGGTCAGCACTCCTTCACTATTTTGATACATCCCAAAATAACAAAAAACAATAAGAAAATAGTGTCAATAAAAATAGACAATAGTTTGTTTTTGTTGTCTGTGCTTTTGAGGTCAAATCCAAAAAAGCATTGTTTATGCCAAGATCTACTATATGACCCATATCCTGCTCCTGGACGTATATTCACAGGAAATGGAATCTGCACATTCAAAAGATACCTGCATGCTTATGCATATCATGTGTGACACTATTCACAATAACTAAGATGTGGACTCAACCTAGTTGCCTCTCAGTGTATGAACAGATAAGGAGAAGGTGGTATATATAGAACATGGAGTATTTTTCAGCATCAAAATAGATGGAACTGGAGGACATTATTTTAATTAAATAAGCCAGACACAGAAAGATAATTACCTCACATTCTTTCTCATATGTGGAAGCTAAAATAAGTTGACCTGAGTGTCAAATAGTGATTACCAGAGGTGGGAAGACAGTGGTGGGTGGGTGGGGTATGGATAAAGAGAGACTGGATCTGATGAATTCATGCTGTATGCATGTGTTGAAATATCACACTGAACCCATTAGTATGTGCAATTAATACATGTTAAGCAAAAAAAAAATTCAAGAGCACATTGTTGAGCTCGTCAGTGGCTGAGTGGCTGTTTCCTTATTTGAGTTACTTCATGACCAACTCAGGTCAGGTATATAGATATCAATATGAGCAGTTATGCATGTTATGTCTTACTTAGGTAAGGTAGCACATTGTCCTAAACATGCACTAACTTTACAAAAATCAGTTTAACCCTCATTTTTGAACCAATGAATGAGTGAAGAAATGATACTTGTCTTAGATTTTTATCCTCATTTCTGACTTATTTCTGTACTAGATAGATCCACTTGCCAGGTCACACATAACACATGTAGATACTCATGAATAGCATTTGATAAATATCCTCTTTGAATCTTCTTATTTTCTAAATCCTCTAATATTATTTTTGTTTAGACCTCCATGTTTTGAAAAATTGGAATATTCCCCTAACTCTGCTTCCTCTCTGTCTTACCACCTTTAAAATAAACTGTGCCCACACTGGGCCAGGCTAATTTCCTAAAGCATAGAACTAATATCAGCTTGAAATAAGTCAGTGTCTTTTGTCCAGAGATACCCTTTGTTTCTTGTTTACCTCCAGCTTATCTCATTACCATTGTCTTCAGCCCTGGATCTTTGTACTTTGCTTCACTGAACAAGTTACAGATCCCAAAGCATATTTTCTTTTTTTGTCTCCCCATGTCTTTAATCACCAGCTCTCCATGTGAGTAACACTGTCCTGCATTTTTTTTTTTGCTGAGATCTTTTCATCTTTTTAAGACTCAGTTTCACTTTCACTAATGTATGACAATCCTTCCTAGACTAAAATTCCAACTGTACAAGTACACACACCACTTGAGTTAAGTACTTTTTTAGTGGACAGCTTTAAGACTGTGTCCATTTCTGTTATTAGCAAGTTCAGTTTACAGAAGGCATCTTGAAGGCACATTTTATGTTGCATAATTCATTGTATCTCATTGCCATATATATAGGAAATAACCAGGAAAAACATTATTTATGAGGTTCATGAAGAGATTTAAGTAAAAAATCTAAAGATATTGTGTTAGAATTCCTATGAAGCCCATACCTTCAGTGAGACTTTTAAATGGATCAAAATGCCTGGCTCCCATCAGCTATTATTGAGCAGTATTGTGAAGCAACCATCAGTTAACTTCGCATGCTCTCTTTCATTTACATTGACTCTTCCAGTTACATATATTCCCTACAGTGCACCAAATTTCCCCTCTTACTCAGTATTCATTCTCCTCTCTTGTTTTCTTGCCAAGTCTCAGCATTGTTTTAGGCAAAAGCAAATACACAAGACCCATAATTTTCTCATCCTCATTATTGCTGTGGAGGACAATCTGTCATAATTCTGTCCAGTGAGATATAAACAATTCTGATGTAATTTCTAGTAAAGTTCTAGTTTCTTG